AAAAATGTCTGTCTCCAGGTCGAAATTATGGCTATGCAAAATACGCAACAAAAGAAGATGCAATGAGAGCAATACAGAGTTTACATGGTCAGAATTTAGCTGGTCAGAGAATTAAAGTTTTAGAAGCTGAACCACCTAAATCTGGGGAAGGAGATGACCCTCATGATCATAATGGTATGAAAAAACTCAAATATGAGGAATCCAGGAGCATGGTAAGTGTTGGCATAGCTTTTTACATGTCAGCATTTATGGATTTTTTTTTTTTTTTTTAAATGTATATAGACCAATAGATCTTATTCAGGCCTCACCCATAAAGCATCAGCCATATTGCATTCAGAAGAAGGCTCATAACGCAGACACATAGATAAATCATATTTTGGTCTCAAAAACATAAGTTGTTCCTCTAAACTCAGTAATAATGATCACAGTTTACCATCAAAATTTGAGACTTCCAATCCATGGGAATCTATAATTATCAACGTGCGAGAAATGTCATTTTGACGTCATGTGTATACAGTAGACTCAATCATCCTTGTCTCACTTCGTTTATGCACAGCTGCATAGGATGATGATTTGGTGTTAAAAGACTTAACCAATTTTCTCGCTGTTGATCAGATGTTACATTTCCTTTTTCTTATTGGACATCACCATCTCTAATGATGTAATTTGTGGTATAAACCTCGCATTTGCTGGTTCCAAAAACACATCTTGAGACTGGCAAAGACCTTAGTAGCCCCTTTGTATTTTAAGACCAAGCCTGTTTTGTATTCTAAGACCAAGCCTGTTTTGTATTCTAAGACCAAGACTGTTTTGTATTCTAAGACCAAGCCTGTTTTGTATTCTAAGACCAAGCCTGTTTTGTATTCTAAGACCAAGTCTGTTTTGTATTTTAAGACCAAGCTTGTTTTGTATTCTAAGACCAAGCCTGTTTTGTATTCTAAGACAAAGTCTGTTTTGTATTCAAAGACAAAGTCTGTTTTGTATTCTAAGACCAAGCCTGTTTTGTATTCTAAGACCAAGACTGTTTTGTATTCTAAGACCAAGTCTGTTTTGTATTCTAAGACCAAGCCTGTTTTGTATTCTAAGACAAAGTCTGTTTTGTATTCTAAGACCAAGCCTGTTTTGTATTCTAAGACAAAGTCTGTTTTGTATTCTAAGACCAAGCCTGTTTTGTATTCTAAGATCAAGCCTGTTTGTATTCTAAGACCAAGCCTGTTTTGTATTCTAAGACCAAGCCTGTTTTGTATTTTAAGACCAAGCTTGTTTTGTATTCTAAGACCAAGCCTGTTTTGTATTCTAAGACAAAGTCTGTTTTGTATTCAAAGACAAAGTCTGTTTTGTATTCTAAGACCAAGCCTGTTTTGTATTCTAAGACCAAGACTGTTTTGTATTCTAAGACCAAGTCTGTTTTGTATTCTAAGACCAAGCCTGTTTTGTATTCTAAGACAAAGTCTGTTTTGTATTCTAAGACCAAGCCTGTTTTGTATTCTAAGACAAAGTCTGTTTTGTATTCTAAGACAAAATCTGTTTTGTATTCTAAGACCAAGTCTGTTTTGTATTCTAAGACCAAGCCTGTTTTGTATTCTAAGACAAAGTCTGTTTTGTATTCTAAGACAAAGTCTGTTTTGTATTCTAAGACAAAGTCTGTTTTGTATTCTAAGACCAAACCTCTTTTGTATTCTAAGACGATGCCTCTTTTGTATTCTAAGACCCAGTCTGTTTTGTTTACAGCAAACCTCGAAAGGAAATAAACAATTTATGCCGAGATAGAAAAAAGATGGACTGACAACAGAAATATTCTGATAAATTACCAAGATAAATGTAGGATAGAGATGACTGCCATATTTTATGAATTAAACTCATATTTTTTAATTTTATTCATTAAAATTTTGACGTCTGTTTTCAAATTTACTGTTAGTTTTAATGTAATGAAACAGGGAGGGGAAGGGCAAAAAACCCAGCAAGCTTCGAAAGGAAACAGACAAGATACAAATATTTTTTGGTCCACCTTGCTTTGTTTAAAGAGGCAGTACGAAAAATTTTCATTATCCAAAACGTGGTAAATTATACCTGAAAGTATTTCTGAAAACTTCAAACTACAAAATAGTCCCTGTAAACATGTGTCACCAACTTTCAAATTACATCCAATGACTGTTGATAACATATAACAAGTCTGAAAACTTTGACAGAATGTTGTTGG